TAAAGAAAGATAAAACTAAAACTAGAAAAATGCCTGTGAGAAAAAGGAGAAAGAGCTAAATTAGCCATCACAAACCATAAAGCTCAGATCATCTGAAAGAACCTTCAGATTTGCTTAGAAGAAATAACTCCAAAAGGCCATCCACCGAAGATCCATTCATTTCTATAGCTGACTTGCTGCAACACTTTCTTCTTAAAACTATTTGAGGAAACAATTTGTCTTGTTTAGTTCTCATGAGGCAATGCAGAGAATGTTAAGAAATAAGGAACTTTGCTCAAAAATTTTCTCCATCAAGAGTACAAGGGGATATCACCCTGCTAAAGGTATCAGCCATAAACATTTGTATTTTCAGATTTTCTCACAGCTCTGTGTTGTGTATATTTTCTAACATAATTGATCAGGGCTCCAAAGACACCTGCACAGACTTGGGTGCTTTGGGGTTTCAGGAGGCTGCTTTCTTCACTTGAAACTCTCAAATAGAGAGCTACAATTGCCTACATATTGGTAGACTTTCCATTGTCTGTAAGGAATTTGACTCAAGGCATTTTCAGTCAGAGATGTGAATGTCTCCTGTCATTTGGAGGTGTTTGGATAGGGTTTGTTTAGACTTTTGCATCTTCAGACCCAAGACCAATCACCAGCCATGTAATACACAAATTTAAAAAATGTTCTGCTTCACTGGGCTTCTCAGTATCATACATTTGTTTCTGTATGTAGTTTGATAGAACCCCCTCCCAAAACCTAACTATAAAGGGATTCTTACATGGTATTTCATCTAAAAGCATATATTTAGGGCAACCTTATAAAAGCTACCTATCAGGTGAGAGGAACCTCCCTTGCTGCTGTGCACTAGACTAACCAGAAGTCAAGGCAAAGGAAGCCATACACCTGAATAGTTTATTTTGCTTCCTCACCCACATATAAAATGTGTATGTTTCCAGAAACAGGTTTTGTAGGACACTGTAATAAGCATGAGATACAAACAGACCCTCAAGCAAACAAAAATAACTGTGCTTATAATTCCCTGTCCACCTGCAGGAAAGGTTAGATCTGGCTTAAGATTTCAAATTATGGTAGCTTTTAATGCTGATGTCTTTAGCATAAAGAATTTTCCTAATATAGAAAAGCTTTGATGTTAAAGAATGGTGTTTCCCTTCATAGTAAAAAATAAGCACTGGCTCCAGGCCAGCGTGTAATGGGAAGCTGCATATGCTAGGAAATCCTGACTCCCAGTGGCAAAGGACTAAAATGCTTCTGAGACACAGTCTGCCTAAATGTAAAATCATTATTCCCAACTCCAGCCATAAAGAATCATGACAACTAAGCATTTAGAAAGAGGGCTTATGATAAAGAAAATTCAGAATCAGCATTCTGGGATCTCAAAAATGCATGATTAAAAAGTTCAAATTAAATGAGTAAATAAGTCCCTCTGCACTTTTTAGCATGTTTTTACAGCTCAGTCTGAATTGATTTTTTTAAACAATAAAGCTTCATGAAAGGCAAGATAGGTTTTAAATTCAAACTACGACTGCTAATGCATGTGACTGCTATATTTACCTTGACAAATTCACTATATTCTACATGGGTCATAAGATGTAATAATTTAGAATTCTTATTAATGCTTTGTGGAATATGTAGTTGCCTACAATCATCATCAACTTTCTAGAGAAGACAATCTTCTCTAGGACTGTACTGACATGATCCATGTTTCACTTTTTGTCTTTCTTTAACTGGGATTCAGAACTGTAGGGTCCCTATGAATCAAAATCTCATTCATTCTAAGTATGATTCAAATATGTCAACCCTGGTTTTGATTCAGCAGACCAGAATTGAGATGACAGAGCAGGATGATCTAGCAATTTTTCTGCTAGCTCTGCATGCTCTGTGCAATGCAAGGAGAATAGTAGTATTAACAGGACTAAATCCAAGATCAAGTGGAGAAAATAGAATATTTTGTAACCAGAGCAGGAATACTGCTGGTAATACTATACAGAATTTCAGGACAAGAAACAAATATTTAAGATTCAAGGAGCTGGTAAATTAGGAAATGAATGAATCTTAAATGAATGAGGTATATCTCAAAATGGTCTGCTGAGACACTGACTGAACACAAGCACTGGCCTGACTTTATAAAAGACTGATGAACTATGAACAGAAACAAGAATGGTGACAATGTGAGCCAAAGCACACCCTGCTTATGGCCTGACACCACATGAGAAGTGTGAAGAGGCCAAACCATAAATCTCAGAATATACCATGGCCTTGTCCATAAACCCAGTATGTCTGAGTTGCTACGTCAGTAACAGATGATAAAGCACATCTGTAGTTACTACACCCCAAAAGCATCAGTACCTGAAATGCTAATCCTTGAGTAGAGATGTGACAGACAAGCAGCAGACTCACAGGTGAGTTACTTTTGTTTCTTTTTGGAAGTCTGGTGAGTTTAAACCCCATCAGTCCAAGAACTCATGGACCAATTGTAACAGAAGCCTGGTACATACAGCAAACTAGATCAAAAATTCAGTACTCTGACATCACAGCAGTCAGTTAAAAGGTCAGGGCCTTCATCTTCAAAGTCAGTCATTCAAATCAGCTCATCTACTCAAAATACATCTAGAGCCTTCGGGGAAGCCTGGATAGTCATTCAGAAGAGGATAAACTCAAGTTCCACATCTGCTTGCCTCTCAATACAAGCTTGTGAAACAAAAGGTCTGTGTCCTGGTATCAACAAAGTAGAGATCTGAGACCTCACAGCTGCCAGGTTCTTCATACAGCCCCAGGCACCTTTTGAGCCTCACAAACTTTGTAGAGTTCTGTAACTAGGCATAAACCCTGGAAACAAGAGTATGGAACCCGTAGATTACTGTAATCTCTCTCTGGACTTCAGTCTGTTGAGTTTTATTTAATTAACCACCTCCTGGCATCTCTACATAGAACTAAACACAGGAAACCACATTCCATTAGCCTTCCAAAAGACAAAACCAGCTCTCCTTAGAATCTTGTAGCAGATGCTACCAAGTAAGGTGTCCTTAAATTAGTTTTGGCTCATTATCAGCCCATGCCTGAGCTCAGGACACCAGAAAGAAATTCATCACTTGACATCAGAACTAATGCTATAGAAGACTGTGCCCATCAAACAAGGCTTGCCTTCACATCCGTACAGTACAGCAGCAGAACATCAGAGAATTTTGTATCCTGACATCAGAGCAGCAAGACAGCAGTGCTGACCTAGAACCTCTGAAGGCACACAAATATTAAAACAGCAGGATCAGGCTTATTTATCTACAAGCCACACACAGGTGTGTGCTTCTACTTCAGCCAGCGAGGTGATGTGCCAAACTATGAGCTCATGTGGTGTGGGCTTGGGATTTGTCCCACAGAGCAGTAGCTGAGCACAGCTTCAATCAAAGGGACCACCTGGAGAGGATGGTACATCTCAGCATGGAGAAAGATGACTTTCAGTCATCCCACAAATGCCAAAAATAATGAACAAATGTTCCACAACATCTATCCAGCTCTAGGCAAGTTCAAAAAAAGGGCAGCAGTGGGTTTACTCTTTCTTATGGTATAATACAGCATATAGCTAGCCATTTAATGGGATTTACTCTTGCATAACTCATACAGCACAAACAAAGCAGAACAATGACAGAGGCTCAAATCTAGACATTCACAGGTTCTTACAGCTTTCACATGGATAAAATATCACCAGGTGCTCACAAAGAAAATTAGTTCAGCTGCATAAACAGAGGACTTCACCCAGAGACATGAAAAAAAATATTTAAGCATTTTTGATGTCTTCTTTCCCTGTATTGATCCCATCCCATTCTCCCTGACCTGTGTATTCTTCAGACCCTTTTCATTTACTTATTAATACTTTAACTCACTGAGTAGGCAGGAGACAGCATTTTCCCTTCTCTCACATGTTTTTTTTTTTCACAACTATGCCAAATGTAAAACTCTAATACCTGGTATTGGTTCTACATTCAATGTTCTTTCAAAAGTAGTTCTTACATTGCCACTCCCACCAATGGCAGTCATAAGGCATCTGTCTAGGTGTTTAAACAATGCATAATGAAAAGACTAGAGAAAAAAAATCTTGTAAATCAATTCCATTTCTTTTCTTTTCTTTTATAATCTATAAGCAGAAGGCTTCACATCTAAACTCTTGCATGTTACAGGATGTTCCTTGCCACACAGTAACCTCAGCCCTGAAAACAGCAACTCTTGATTCACTGCTGTTCAGCTTCTAGAAAGGGAGGCAGTTTAGAAAGAAGACACCAAGGAGAAAATGTACTGCTCAGTCACAATCAGTAATGGTAAGGCTCTTCAACACAACACAAGGCCATCCTGCCCTCAGCGCTGACTACCACGGGTTAATAGGAAGGTGCTGCTGCAGTGACCCTGCACAGCAGCAGCTACAGGGCAGCACAGAGATCCTCTTCTTCCTGCAGCCTCCTAGAGCTCCTGATTCTGAATTAAACTATTAGGATTCCTTATACTTTCCATAACTTGTAGTTTATATTACTTTATACAAGTTTCTCCCTTATTGGTTATTTCAGATAAAATTTTCAACATGTGTTTGCAAGTGTAAAGGCTAGAAAAATACATTTTGTGTGTTAATACTGGACCAGCCCATTGCAGATTTGCTGTGAAACTGGGAGAAAAGGGACAATTCAGGAGACTTCCTTCTCTGGACAGACAATAGGACCTCTTTTGAATCACTCATTTTAGTTCCCTGGTTTGATGAGACTACTGAGGCCCGAATGACTTTCCTCTGAAATGTACCACCAGTTTCCTTTCAGAATCCAATTAAAGCTATTCTGATTATATATGAGAGAAAGATTACGACATAGTCATGTAATTATAATAACAGTCAAGTCATTAGAATAATTTAAATAATGATATGGTCATGTCATTTGAATAATTTTACTAATCTGAAGATGCTGATGGAGGGATAGCAATTTTCATTTTGTTAAGGTAAAATGAAGGATAGGTAATATATTTTTCCTGAAGGAATATGCTTTTTCAATCCCATCCCCTGCTCCTGTGACCAGTGGAGAAAGCAAAAATGATACGGATTACATTTGGAGCTCTAGTTTAGCTTCTTGTCTTTGAATTGTTTAATCTTCATCATCTCAATTTCTTCAATAATACAACCTAAATGTCTCCACTGAAGAATAGAACCTGTCTTCTAAATTTTTTATCTTATGACCTATGTGTCTCTTATTCATTCAGCACTTTCTGTGTTTAAAGCAAATCTCTCCCCAACGTAGCCCGTGTGGTACAGGAGGCAGCCATTACTCTCATTTTCAATGGTGTCCACAAGCAACAAGTCAGTTGCTAAAGAGCTGGCAGAATTTCCTTCTATACATGTATTTTCACAAGTTTTGAAATTTATATGCTGGTGGCAGAATGGTAGGAGATAGAGACTAACTGGTAACTAAAACTGGTATAACTATTTCTCACACAAGATTTCTGTCTGTAAGGAAAGATCACGTCAAACTTGCCACACCTATAAAATGCTCTTCCTGCAGAACTGTACTACACAGTTTACTTTTGGGTTTAGTCTTACTGTGAAAATAAACAAATCCTGGCATTTGTAGAGTACCCTGAACTTTAAACACTATGCATATAAATATCAAAGAGGAACTGTAAAAAGAAAAATTCTTAACACCTTAGAAATACAGAATAATGCAGCAAAGCACCAAAGCAGTTCCAAGGTAAACCTGGTACATTTAAAAACTAGTCAATATAAAAAAAATGTAGATTAAGGAATTCTGTGTTGTCAGAGACACAGAAAGCAAATATGTTTTGAATGGTTAGGTGTTGCCAACAGAAGAACAAGTACTCTCTCATTTCAGAGGGAAGTGAGATCCCAAAGAAGGAGTAGCAGGTACCTAGTTTCCTAACAGACCTGTAGATGAGAAGTGAAGAATCCATTCAGAAACAAGCTTCCACATGTCAGCTTTAACTTTCATGATTTTCAGAATCTCATGAGCCACATGACAACACAAATTATCTGAGCCTTACGAATTTTACTGGGGACAGAAAAAACAGAGCAAAAAAGCCCATTGAAAGAAACATGTCTTCCAACCTTAAGAGGAAAGAAAGATTTTACACAGAAAGCTCCACATGCTGTTCCTCATCTCATACACAGAAGGGAGGTCCCTGCCTCACTTAAAGTAAGACCTATGCACTGCCTTAGAAGCATGTGGTATTCAGGAAGGTCTTTTACAGGAATGGATTTAATTTATTAATCCACTAGGAAATGTGGTAATTAAACATATATTTAATAGTTATATATTTAATTCATGTATTTTATTTATGTAATAGTTTTATATATTTAGTCCCATCAAGCCTAATGCAGGAAAAGAAATCAAACAAAAGTCTAAGGTTCAGGTAGTTTCTTAACAGCAAGCTGCCATCAGCAACACTAGCAGCCAAGGAACTCAGAAACAGCAGCACCTCTTCATCCCTGCTTTATACTGATCATCTAACAAGCTTAAAAAAACATGATCGATCAATAGGAAGAAGCAGATGCTTGTTAAACTCTGTGTTATTCTACAAGAATGCATCCTATCTTAAAAACCACTGCAAACTTGCAGCCTTTGAAGATTTCAGACTAAAGTAAATTTAGTTCATTAATGGTATCATTAAGGGTAGGTCAGCAATTTGGAAAAGAACACACTGGAGCAACATCAACAGGAACAGGAAAAGTCGTTTTGAAAACTGGAGAACATATGCTAGACATAAACTAGCAGCTTCACATACCAGAAAACTGAGGATCTGGGCAATGCTACTAAAATAAAAGCATTTGCAGCAGAGAGAAAACAGCAGAAGTAGCAACGGGGAGAGAATTCACATCTACACACCAGGGTGTGAACTTACACGCCAGCCTGACCAGTTCTCTGTTCTCTCCAAGTGTGGCAGGAGCTCTGGCCACAGAGAGCAGGCACAGACTTTCCCACGCATTTTCCTGGGGAAGGCTGTGAGAATATCAGTGGAGAGAATGAGAAACAATTCTTATCTCCACTTGCACCTGCTGTTGTGCACATGTGGAATGTGTCATGGAGATTTGTTTACCAAAGAGTGATTTCTTAATTAGACACTAGATGGTGTTTAGATAGATTGACCACTTAGGTCAAAGCTGTATCAGACTGGTTGCAAAGGTGATAGAGTTTCTTAATAGGTATAGTAAAACATAGTACAAGATGATATAATGAAGTAATTGATCAACCTTCTGCAATCATAGTCAATGCTAATTATTACCTCTCTGGGGGCCTGCAGTGACACCCAAGTACACAAAACTTTCAGGTTCCTAAACCCAAAGCTGTAGGAGAAAACTAAAAGAAGCCAAGCAAACCACACATATCAGAAACTGTTTCATTCTGAAGGAACAGGGTAAAGAAATGCAAGGAAAACCATTCCTGATTAGTTATGTAACAATCCACCAAACAATTACAAGCACAAAGTGAAGCAGTTTCCTTTACCTGCTCATTCTCCCAATGACTGAATGAAAACCTAAGGCAAAAGAACTTCAGATATATGGGAAAAGGTCTTTCATATATCTGATACATTTTACCAGAGTACAGAAACAAATCAGACTCCCAACAAGTCTAAGTAGCTGATGCTGGAACACTTCCATGGTGGGAGAAAGCTTGTATGAATCAGATATTCTCTGCATGGAAAATGCGTCTTTACAGCACACTGCTAGACTCTGAGCCTTGGCAGAGAAGTGAGAGGATGAATCAAATCACATGATTTCATTTTCCAGGAAATGTGTGGGATTTAGATTAGAATAACATCACTACATTACACCCACATTTGTAAACTATTGAGAAAATCCGAACTAAACGTTTATTTCTGATGTTTGCCTCAGGGAAAAGGTTTCACTCCTTTTCTTAAAAAAGACTACTCCAAAAAGAGATCAACACTATTTCTTACAGTGAAGAGCTAAATTTGGCCCAGACATTTCCAGGACAAATTCACACTGAAACCAGAAAAAAGATTTATCATGTTACATTACTGACACTTTCAGACAGAAACCCACAATCGTGCAGATGCTTCACAAGTAAAGGCAGTGTCTGAATCACATGGAAGTTAACACTAACTTTTCTGTAACTAGACAATAAAAAAAAATCATTACTGTCTTACCTTAACAACAACCCAATTTCCTTACACTAAAGCTGTCTTAATTTTCCCCTCAGGGTTCACCTCAAAAGTAAGCCAGGCCAAATAAAGAAAGTTTAAATATTACAATTACAAAAGTATTTACAAATAATCATGAATAACCCCAAAAAATCACTCACTGTTCAAAGAATACTTTAAATTTGAAGAAGTTTCACTGCTTTCTACATGTAAAAAATAATGCTGAATACCACCTTTAAATTAATGCTCCCAGAATTTAAAAGAATCCCTTCTATTTGGTGATGGAATCAAAACACAATCTTCTACAGCTGTCTTTCTTCTCTTCTCACTTCCATGTTCTGTTTCCATTTTCTTTTCCTGTTGTTGGTAACACATCTCAGATAGATTTATAGAGTGTCATGGCCCAGTATAAGTAAATAATGCCAATGAGAAGAAGATAAATAAATACTTAAGAATGTGAAGGATTCTTCAGTCTAAGTGTTTGTTTTTTTTTTCTGAGGTAAGTTTTTTTTTGCCTCTCTGACTCCACAGGAATCACTGCATGAAATTTACGCAGTGAATGGGTAGGAAGTTCCTTTGGGTGACCACATTTTCTCACTTAATCTGACTTCACTACAGTGAGGTCACTGCTAAAAAATCCCCACAAAATTTAGAGCATGAAAAGATCAATGCACAGGATAGTATTTTTTTGTGGTCCAGTAATTATTTTTCTTTGTATGTTTCCTTGTAAATATACCCTGATACCTATAATGGTGTGAATGTCATATTCAAATCCTTTAGTTAATTAATATGAAATCTCTAGAAAAGTAAGCAGCTGTATGCTAAAAAATCAGTTTTCAGTTTCTATCTTATTAACTGAAAGACACAATTATTGATGTTCTGGATGAAACAGACATGCAATTTCCTAAATTCTCACATGATAGTTGTGCCTGGTCGAGCCCATATTGCCAGAATTTTAATCAGCAAATTTACTGAAATCAACAGTATCTCAGATATAGAGGAAAACAGAAAGTGACTGAAGCTGAGTTTCTCTGTGAAAGTATGCAAGCAATTGCAAGTACTTCTAGATAGTACCTATTTCTTGTTATTCCTAGATTTATTTTTTATATTATTCTGCATAACACTGTCATAAAGACTATGATTATCAGGTCTGTATTTCAGGTGAGAAATCTAAGTCTGAAGCACCTCAAAAACATTCTATGAGCAAGAAATTAAATAAAATCACTTCACTATGGTACAGAGTGAGCTAAAGAAACTACTTGAAGTACAAGTTAGGAGTTAATAATATAAAAAGCAGATGTTAGTGTTATTCATGTATGTGGGACAATTGAATGTGTCCATCCACAAAAAAAAAATGTAAACCAAACAGAACACCTGTTAAAACTGTAATCTGTATCTTTTTATTTATAAAATGTACAGCAAAATATTAATTATATTCAAATGTTAAGTGTTCCTTTCTGGGAACTACATCTTATTTAGCAGGTGCCTTTGTGTGTTCATCAGTCCTGCAACCAAATGGCACTCATACTAATTTCGTAATAAACGAAAACTTTCCCATACCTTGTCTCACGGCAGAGAGTTAAGGTTCAGTAATTGAAATTGCGGAGGTAAAGATGATCTGAAAAAAGAGGAGCCTTATAAAAGAATACACTCAAAAATATTGAATGTTTTTAAGCATAAAGGACAGTTTTTAAAACAGAAGATCACTGAAAAATATTTGCAGAAATGCTTTTCCTCCACAGGTCTTCAGCAGATAGAAAATGAAAGTCACATTCTTTGCCAGCTGTGAGAAAATTGATAGTTCAGATTTCTCTCTTTGATTGTGTCTTTAAATGCCACTTCTAGTATCTGCAGTCACTGCTCCTCTTGCCATTCAAATCTAGGCAGGCAGTCATTCCTTGAAGCTTCCAGTGTGAGTTGCCCAAACTAGCTGTTTTATAGATCAAATTCACACTTGTCATTGATGTACTATGCACAGAGTAATGTTTTCTGATTTTCTGTATATTCAGATTAGCTGTATTTTAACTGAAGTGATCAAAAAAGTCATTAGACTACCCTGGTTCCATGTCAAAGTCTTTCAAAATCTTCTTTTGATTTTATTCTTTTCAAAAATTTTGGCTCATGCTCGCAGGGAATTGAGAACTTCAACAAGATTAATTTCTCTGATGTCTTCCAATACTTCAATGCACCTATCACATTTTCAAAGGTTAACACTTTATCCTCAAAGGAACAGGTAAACATCATCAAATATTTTCAAAGAAGGAAATACAGATACAGGTGTTATTGAAATATAGCCATGGGTCTTATTGTCCCAGATGATCACTCAGACCATCGATCTGGGCCTCTTAACCACTGTACCAGCTGAGCCTACTGTAGTCATCCCCAGGCTCATTATGATTCCTTGCTTAGAACTGAAAGCATAAACCAGTACCAAATAAGCTTTTACTGTATATACAATACACAACAGCACTTTAGCTACTTCTCCTCACTTAAACACAAGTCTGTCTTCCACATAGTCAGTTTCCCTCCCCTACTAGGTTTGTACATAGTAGCACCACTTTTCTGCATCAAGTTGGCTACTGATAAAACATGAGAGGAGGGGAATGTGATATAAAAAGCAAAATGTACCTTAACAAAAATAGATTTGTTGGCTCACAGACACACATACATAAAAAAATCTTCAAATATTAAAAAATATCCCCTGTCATTTCCCTACTTTCCTTGATCTGCTGCAAAGTTTTGAGGGTTCATTTATAACAAGAGTGCAGAATACCATAGTGTGACTGAGGATGAAAGAAACAGAGAGAGAATGCCTACACAATGTACACACACGGGCATAGCCTGAATTTTTTAGTTGACACTTACACAGTGAACAATCTGGGGGCAAATATCCTCTTTGCCCCGTATGTTCTATATCACTTACCCAAGAGCACATACATGCATGAAATCAATCTGAACCACTAGGATCTTTCACCTTGTCACTGATATCCAGGTTTGCACATGGCGTAAGGCAACGGTGAATCAAACCTCATGATCCTTACTGGGAATTTTGCCTCAAGAAACTACAGGCAGTCACTGAAACAAAACTCAAAGATCTTGTTGAAATAGCACCCAGGTAAAGGTAAATGCAGAAATTTACAACTTGAGATTTGCTCATAGCATTCTTTCCTATAAAACACCTTTCAGATTAAGAAGAAAAAGCTAAAACCAAACTTAAATCAAACTTTTTTTGCATGTAAAAAAAATGGCGTGCAAGAATATTTCTCAGCCAGTGAATTATGTGCATATCTGTGACAACTGAGGTAGATTTTTTTTGTTGTTGTTGTTCCAAATATGTTCCAGCATATACTTATTTAAGGTCTTGGCAACGCTAAGTAAACTTGTATCTTCAGTCTCTTTCAAGGCAGACATTTTGTCTAACTTTTTGACACTGGAAATGCATTCTCTTCATCCCCAGGTTGTGCAGGCTTGCTGTTTCCTCTTAATGTCAAAAATGAGTATCTCAGTCCTCCTGCAATACTAAACAAAAGACAATGAAGAGTGATGTCAAAGATGTCTGAAGTTACAGATGTAATTTCATAGGTACGTACCTTTCCTTCTGAAGAGCTAATGAGCACCAGCTATCATAAACTAGGAGTGCCTAAGAGCTATGTAACTCATCTGAGAAAGCAGCCCCAAGCAGACAAAGATCAGTTACCAGATTCACACACACAGGTGATCATCTAAACACACAAAGTAACCACTCACAAGTTAGAATTCAATAGGCACAACTAATTCAGTCAGTGAGCTCACTTCACACACCACACCTTTTACTTGGAAGCCTCACAGCTCAGAACTGCTGCTTATAAAAAATTCCACACAGTAAAACTGTAAGCACATTTCCACAATTATGCCTTATTGCAGCAAGATTTAATATCTGAAAATAGACAGGAAAAGTCATAACTAACTGTAATGACCTTTACATCCTGAAGCAGTGCTTTGTCAGGCCAGTAGTTTCAAAACTGCATCACCCAAATGAGTCCAATCAAATGAAATATAAAACTAGAACTCACTGAGAAATTTTCAGTTTTAATAAATAAAGGGTATTCAAGTTTCACTTACCAAATATTTAGCCCTATAAAGTTTAACATGGAGAATATGTAATCTCCACCAATCAACATTCCAATGTAAGCAATGGATATATTCTGAAAGGAAACAACAGTCATGCATTTATTTAAGTCAGATGTCATCTCCATGAATACAAATGGTATCAACTAATTCACTTTTCTAAGGAAATAGCTATACTGTGTTGCTGACCACTCTAAAATCAGCCTTTAAACTAATTTCATGGATGTCAGCCTTATGGATAATGTAGCAATGAAAAAAAATAATAAAATCAGTATGTTTTCTAAATGTATGCAATGCACAGTAACTTTCTAGGGGAGAAAAAAGCTATTTGATATTAGGCAAAATTGACTGAAGGTCACCTTTTGAAATTTATTTCTTTATTATCTTTGGAATTCAAATCTCATTTCTTAAAAGTGGGTTTTGGGTTCTCCAGCATAAAAAGGATGCCTTAAACTTACAGTAAAAGTCCTTCATTATTACCTTAAGAGGGTTATCTGCTTACTTTTCCAACTAAATGTGCTCTGAAATCACTTGGTACAGGTTCAAGACAGGCACAGCTTAACGTTAAAAATTATACCTCTCACCCAACTGCATCAAGTTTTAGAAAAATAGTCCCCTAAAGACAGAAGGAAAGATGTAGAAGTCTTGTGATCATTTTACCAACACTTTGTTGCATTAAATTATTTTAGTAGTT